TTAAATTTATTTCTTCCAGGCATTCAGGAGCACTACAGAATATAAGTCATTTATATCAAATTCACAGTTTGAGATTTGCTGGACCATCCAACAATGAACCTCAGATTGCAAAGCCATGTGAAAACTGTCTTGGGCCAAAACTTCTTGAGGACAAGTTATATCCTTGTCCACTGAACATCAAGACAACCTTCCCTGAATTCCCCTAGGCATGAGTTCTAGTTTACCCTGCTATTAGTTCCATCCTTTGGTGACCCATACTTTGGCTACCCCTCACCCTGTGATTATACCTATGACTATAATACAAACTGTTAATGCCTTCAGAGTAACAGTAGGGAGCTTGTAGGGCAGGGAAAACAATTCTCTCCATACTCTTGAGTTCTTAAATGGGACAGACTCCTGTAATAAAAGACCAAATTAACAAGAGAAAAGCAAACAGAAGTTAGTTAACGTGTATACCTCAAGTATACATGGGACATATAAGGGAAAATGAGGTGGCACATGTAACTTCTTCAGCTGAAACAAAGGAATAAGGCAACTTATGAGAAGGTAACCACAAAAAGCATGGTAAACAAAGATAGAGTCTATCATGCAGATCCAAGTTGGTACCCTCTCCACTGATGAGATTCCCCTGTGGGGATACAGAATCATTCCTCTCTTCCTGGAACAAAGTAAACAGCTTTCCTTATGGAGACTTCCTTTGTGAATGTAAACTTCCCTTCAAAAGGATAACTTCTCTGTTTTCAGAGCTTTTCCTGTGTCTGCTGTTTCTCCAAATAATCAAAGAAATCTTTAAGCCAGAGAGGCACAGTGACTTACTAGCTGGATTGGATGAAGCAAGCTGCCATATTGTGAGGTGTCCTATGGAGAGAATCATGTAGCAAGAAAACGTGGCCAAGAATAAGTTAGGAAGTAAAGTGTTCAGCCAAACAGCCTCAAAGAGCTAAATTCTACCTTCTATCTTGTAAGTGAACTTGGAAGTAGATTCTTCCCCTGTTGTGCCTTCGAATGAGACCCTGGCTCAGTCTGATATCTTGATTACAATCAACTGTCTAAAAGATTTTTAAAGATAATTTTTTAATTGTTTGGTTGCATTTGGTATAGTCTAGTCTCTTGTGTCACATTTTAGAGTAGCTTATTTTAGTCTCCTATAAACTCTAAAAGTCTACGAGTTTCCACACTTTCCCTTTGATTTTTTATGTCATCATTTCTTACTATCATGCCACTTCTTTGATGCTTTTAGAGGATTCTTTAACAAATGGAGTTAGTTGCAAGTAGGACTTAATGTAACAGTCAATGTCCTATAGTCTGCTGATCCCATTTAGAAATTATTGATGACATATTTTTTATTACTTTTAGATATACGTGACAGTAGAGTGTATTTGAACCTACCACGGATGAAAATTTATCTAACAGATATAGGGAGCACAATCTATTTCCTCAAACTATAATGGCATTTTATCATGCCAGTTATCTCTCTGATTCCCTCATAGTAAGCTCTTTTACAACAGGTCCATATCGAAAACATAAATGCTCTATAACTGACCTTTAAATAAAATCTGTGAATTAAATAAAGAAAGCAAAGTTAATGTGCTGTCAACTTTATTCTCAATTACATTGCAGCTAAATTCCTAAAAAGCAGAAGCAAATCAGGACAAATCCATAATTTTTTTTGCACACTGTATAAAATGTACTTTCGAGGAATTCATTATTAAGATGAAAAGACTATCCATTAAAACTTTTATGTAATTTATGTTCAAAATATCCTAATATTTCGTATAATATATACAAATATCAAAATCCCAATGGTTTTAATTTCAGGGAGCAGGTGGGAAAAGCTGTTTCTAGAAATTGGAAAGTGAGAATTTTATTTTGCTAATAAAAGAAGGAAGGAAGGAAGGAAGGAAGGAAGGAAGGAAGGAAGGAAGGAAGGAAGGAAGGAAGGGAGGGAGGGAGGGAGGGAGGGAGGGAGGAAAGCAGGCAAGCAATCACAGGCTCCTGGTAAATAAAGAAGTTTTAACAAAGGAGGAGTCTTCTAAGAATAAATGGAAATCTAACAGATTTTTGATGATCAGGTAGGCAGGAAACTTCTGGAATAGTGAAATCTTTAGGATATGTTTGACTATTAAGAGTCTCCACTTTTCTGTGTGAGCCACATTCCCAGTCTTTTGATTTTGAGATGGTGCCTGCCTAAGCTGCTGAGACTGTCCTCCAATTTCCCATCCTCCTACCTCAGCCTCCCAAGTTGCTGGGATTACTGGCATGCACCACCACGTCTGGAGCTACTCTCTAAATGGGAAATTGTGTGGCTGTAGGATTTCCAGGACTCAAGTGCGAACGACAACACGCATCAACTCTAAACAACAGAAGTCCTGAATGTTGAAAAACTGGAGTTCTCCTGGGGCTAGTTCGGATTTCTCTCAAAACTAGACAGAGATGCAGGCAAAATTGAGCACTTAACAAGAACAAGGTTAGAACCCAACCCTAGGAGCCGCCCTCCCTTTGGCCCAGCTAGGGATCTCCGCAGGCTGCTCCAGTGCCCCGAAGTCGGCTGCGCCTCTCACCTGCATGGTACTCTGCTCTGCCCCTCAGGTACTGGCGTCGACCTGTCACAGGTGAGGATGGAGATATAAGCCTCCTCCAGGCTGGAAGAAGGCCCCTGCAGGCTCGGCGGTTTCTAACGCCCGCGGGCAAGGGGCAAAAGAACAGGACTTGTTCCCCTTGTGCGCAGGTGACTCCGTTGCCAGGCAACCCAGAAGCCTAGTCCAGCCGGTAGCTTTGGGTGCTGATGCAGCAGGTCCTGGAGCATCTCCCTCAAGCAGTGCCTGTTTGCTGTGTGGTGCTGATGCTGGGTGTTCCTCCCACCCTTTCCTTCACCCCCACCATCGCCAAATCAACCATTGTTTTCCAGTCTCTCTGGTACCTTTCAACTCCTGAGTCCTCTCTTCAAAGAGAAACAACAAATTCTTGAGGTGAAGAATCTTTCACAGGGGTTCTTAATCTGGAGACCATAACCTGTATCTGGATGAATTTCAAGCGATGTCGAACCTCTAGATCCCTCTTGTACACAGAACTTTAATCTATATGTACATTTTATTTTCCGAAATTAATAAACAGAACTTTCATCTAATACTCAAATGGGGCTGCAGGCTGCCCGAACCCATCTTAAAAACTCACTGCCTTAAACAAAACAAAACAAAGCCAAAACCCACTGCTTTAGGAGGCAGACACTTTTAGGTAGGAAATCCAGATAGTTGGGTTCCTTGATGGTGACATTAAGGAAAGGGTATTTACCTGGAGCTGCTAGGAACCTGGGGGAAACACTTGGTGTCATTCCCATGTTTATGCACATGATCCCAGAAATATGCTCAAGAAAAATTTGAGAACAAGACAAAAAAAATGTCTTTGATCATAGTTTTAAACTTGGGTTCAGCATTGGAGTGCTTCAACTGTAGTGCCTGGATTGCTTCATTTGTAATACCCATGAATCCTGATCTAGTAGCTGGTATGTTCCAGTTTAGATCCAGAATGACCACCCCTCCCACACACACACACTCAGAAGCCCATGTGTCAGGCAATGTTGGGGGGTGGTGGGGAGTGGGTAGAAAGAAGTCAGTCACTGGAGATGGCCTTGGGGACTCATCTGTTCCTGGTCCCTTCTTGTCAGGCTCACTCTTCTTCCTGGTTGCCATAAATTGAACAGCTTTCCTCTGCCACGCTCTTCCACCATGTTTCTGCCATGGAAACAGTGGACCATGACCTGAATCTTCTGAAACTGTGAGCCAAAATAAATCTTTCCTCCTTAGGTAGTTCTTGTCTGGTATTTTGACCCCAGTGACCAAAAGCTGACCAACACACCCATAAATTTTGTTGTGTTTATGTATGAGACATTAATTTATTAAATTCAAATACTTAAAAAAAATCATAAGTTTTGCAACTGGATCTTGTTATTTCTCCTCTTCCTTCCTTATCCCAGGAAACTTTAATATGTATAGCAAACATTTTTCTGGATTTTTGAGAGACCCTGGAGACTGCTGCTTAATATTCAACTACCTTTCCTTATTTTACCAATCAAAAATCCAGATTAATTGATTCACGGTGCACAGAACTAGTTAGTCCATGCTGTCCCATGAATTTGTGGCTTTAAAGCCGGTGTGCTCCCAGGATACCATCCTGTCAAGACAGTTTGTTTTAAAAGAATAATGCAATTTTTGTGCTGTCTTCTGCTTCTTTTCTTATGACCTTTGATCAAGTTGACAAAAAGTGAAACTCAGGAACATTTTAGTGAAAGGTACAATTTAAGTTACAATCCTTGGTCAACATCAGACAAAGGCTTGTAAGATACTTGGCTCTTAAAGAATACACGGACCCATTCAAATAGCCACCCCTCTCTAAATAGCAACAACATCCTTGGTGAAGGTGGGAATCCAAGACGGGGTCAGAAGGGAAAAACCGAGGCAGAATGGAGGGGGGTAGTAAACTCAATCTCCACCTGAGGTTAATTTTGTGTCCACTAAACACTGATTCGATGTATGCTCATGATCCTCTACTAGTAAGATAGATTTTTTTTTTTTTGGTAACAGACAAGACTGGTTGCCTTTCAGATACTGAAGGATAAAAAAAAAATTATTTTAGGATAAACTAAATGTTCTGAGTTGGCAGACAGAGTCCCTTGATGTAGCAATCAGAAATCTGTTTTATACTACTTAAATCAGAACTTACTTATTAGGTCACTACACAAGTCATGGCCAAATCCCTCAACTAGCATAGTTTTACCTGGTATTCACATTCTAAGATATTTAGCTATTGGGCATTCTGGTGTTTATAAGACTTGGTGATTTTGTTACTGAAAAAGTCCAAATGTGTTGAGTTAAAATAGCTTATTCAACTTCTTATATGTGACTTTAATAAAAAAAATCAAAAAAGCATGTGTGCCAGTAATCAAAGAACATCACCAACTTACAACTTTATTGTAACTATTTATCACTATAACACTAAGAAAAAACACTTTAATATGCTTTATTTTCAACAAATCAAACATTTACAATTACAACTTTTACTGAGAATGTTTACAATACAGGAATTTTCAACAGAATTAACTTAGGAAGGACTGTTTTTGAGAAGAAAGCAAAATGATGTCAGTACATTTTTTATCCCATATTATTGTTTCTGTGAAAAATTAGTGGGCATCTGTGAAAAAAAGAAAAACTAAATTAAATTCAAGTGTAATGAGCATATGAATATATATATATATATATATGATGTTTGTATAAATTTCTATAATTATATTGTCATAGTGTAATAATATGGTATCTGAGATATTTCTCAGATGTTCTTCAGTTTGTATATTTTTTACTATTATCAGTTAATATTTGTCTGATGGGAGATATTTGTTTTGCCCCTTTCTAGATTGGTTAGGTTAAATAGGCTTTTTTTTTCTTTTGAAAAATCAGATTTTTGCTATGCCTATCAATTTTTCTACTTTGCTACATTTTAACTTCTTCTGTTATTTCTTCCTTCTGTTTTCCTGAGATTCATCTTACTATTCTTTCTTGACTTAATGAATTAAATCCTTAATGTATTAATTTTTCCTTGCTTAGTCTAGGCCTTGAAATTTTCACTAAATAGGACTTTGACAAAGTCTCCTGAGATCTAATATACAGTATTTTCCTTATCTTTTCCCCCTAGATATTGTGTGATTTTGGTGTCAATGTGTTCTTTAGGTAGAAATAATGTGTTTTAGTTTTGTTTCTTTGAAGAAAATATTAAGAACTTTAACATACTTAAGCTAATATAAATGAAATATTTGCAAAAAATATATTCAGGAAAGAATCTGAATTTACTATTACATAAATTCTATATTTCTGTGCTATAAATTTATCAATCTGTATTTCAGTTTGATTTCAAAATTTATAGTCTAATAAAATGTTATGACCAGGTGTGCTGGCACATGCCTATCATCCTAGTGTCACAGAGGCTGAGGCAGGAGGATTACAAATTCTAAGCCAACCTACACAACTTAGTGAGACCCTGTCTTAAAAAAAAACTAAAACAAAAAACAAACAAAAAGGCTGGGGATATACCTCAGTGGTTGGGTGCCCCTGAGTTTAATCCCCAGTACATCCCCCACACAGATATTAGGATTAGCATATTTTTTAAATTTATGGGGCTAGTCACCAGCCACTGTCCTTACATGTTTAATAAATATTGGTTAATCCCACCAGCTACTAGCTACTGAGTTTCTATTGTGTGCTCCATACTGAGATAGGAACTATGAAAATACCAAAGTAGAAATTATGTTCTCATGTCTTTCTACATTTTCTTCATTCCCTAGAAACCATTACATTATAAGCTTTTATAAAGATTCTTTGAATGTAAGTTATCTGGAGGACGGAAATGAATTCAGTCTGTAAATCCTGGTCCATCATGATGGATGCTGACTACCACAGTAAGAATGCCCTCTCTGCATCATACTACTTTCACAATAAAATATGCCGAGGCTGATGTTTCCAAAACCAATCATGATGATTACCATTGTGGTTCTGTCTGAAGAATATGATGGGCAAAGCAAATCTGGACCTAAAATACTGGTATTCTCTAAAACCCTCATTGCCCCTATAGTTGTAGCATTTATACAAAATATTAGTGTATGCATACAATCAAATAATAGAAATATATTGAATATAGCTTAATTTGTCAATGTTGGAAACCAACAGAAATTTTCAAATTAGGTTGAACTGTGAAACATATACCAACATTTCATTTTTTATTTATTTACTTATCTATTATTTTTTTCAAAAATACATACCATTTTAAACAAAATCTGCTGACCTTCTTCCATTACGTGGCTGAAAAACAATAAATTAGAAATAAATCAGTGAAACTACAAATGGAAGCTAATACTCATAGAATATTGATAGATCATAATGAAATAGAGGAAAGTTTATTTAATGTACATCAGAGTCATCTGGAAGGCTTTTGACAATGCAAAAATGGGACATCTGGACCCCATAGCTGGAGTTTCTAAGTCTGAGGTGGGCCCCCAAGTTTATATTTCTAACAAATTCTAAGGTGCTGTTACAGCTGCTTAAGTCCAACAATAAATTACATACTATTTGATTTTTTAATTAATTAATTATTTTATTTATTTATTTTTGCATTATAATTCTTAATACACCATTATACCATAATTTATCATATCTCCCATTTGATTTTGTTTATTTCCTTGATGGTGCCAAATTTTTAGAAAAAATGATCTGAAATTTAATTTGATATGAACCAAAATTAACTTACTGAAGTCACAGTTATTTAGTATTATGTTTTCCTGCTGTCAATGTAGTTCCTTCATCCAATCTACTCTCCCAAGTTGCTGTTAGAATTATTTTCCAAAATACAAATCTTACCCTATGGCCTCCTTTACCTGCTTAGTTTTCAAAGTAAAGTTGAAAATTTTCAGCTAAATATTTCATCAAGCAATTTCTGTTGATTTCTGAAGAAATCAGTCCATGAAGATTTCTCTGTATCTCTCCCACTTTCTTTTTTTTTTTACTCTACATCCCCTAGACTTAAGATGTACTTAACATAATACAGTCAGCCTTCCTATGAACCACCTCCAAAAATATTTCTTGCAAAAATTGCATCTTTAGTAAACACATACTGAATTGGGTTTCTTGTCATTATTCCCTAAACAATATAACAACTATTTCCATTTCATTTACATTGTATTAGGTGATATAAGTTATCTAGAGATGATTTATAATATATAGGAAGATGTACTAAGGTTGGATACTAAAGGATGACTATATTTTATATTTGTTTACTTATCTATTTCCTCTACTACACTATAAATTCCTAGGGTGTGGGAATTTAATTCTGTTTTTATTCCCATGCATTGGTACAATCTCCATCCCCAGTAGAAGTACAATAATTGTTGTTGAATGAGTTAATCAAATTTTTCTGGTAATGTAATAAGGAGCAAGTATTTCAGAAAGTGTAGCTCTTAGAAAGAAACCCACATTTCATACACGAATTTGGACATACAAAATGAGAAATATAATCATAGTATTTTACAAAATGAGAAATACAATCACAATTTTTGTTTACAGAAACTATTGTAGTTGAGTCTTTGAATTTTAAAAATTTGTGAGTCATAAATCTTCCAATATACTTCATCAGAAATTTAGCAAATAAAAGAATAAAAATAAAAAACAATTTAGCAGATGATTCCTTGGAACTTAAGGAACAATGTTTCTTTAAGACATTTATATCCTATGTATGAAATATTATGGAATTAAATTATTAAGTAGGTGAATGTCATTTGAGGCATTTATGAATATGAGTAGTGAATCAGAGTAAAGATTAAATATGCTGTAGCATAGAAGTAATAAGACTGACAGAAGTGAATGTCAGATTGTAACATCTGATGTCAAATATCAATACACTTTAAAACTTATGAATTAATTAAATGTACAGTGAGAAGTATTTTTAACTCTGATATTAATTGACTTTAAAAAAGTACAGCATGTGCCTACCCTAAATAAAAAGTATCCTTTACTTCGACTTGCAAAAGGACTTTGGAATTCTTCCTGGAAGAAAAGAGGAGGGCATTACAAATCAAATAACGCTAAAAATAAGTGAAAATTCTTCTAAAGAGAATTTTAGTGAAGCTCAAAGTTACTTTTAACTATTATAAACACAGAGGGCATCAAGGACTTGAGTAAATAATTAATATCAGTAGAGAATCATATTATTTCCTGAAAAATTTCAACAATTTGCAGTATCATCAGAATACTATATCAAAAAATATATTTTTCTTATCGACATAACACATTCTTTTTCAGGAATTTTGTCAACTGTACATGTATTCATCAGCAGGTAGAAAGGTAGCTGTCAGGCATATCATTATTAATTATATTTAAAATGTCCTTTCACCATTTTGTTAGAGAATAAAATAATTTATTTAAAATATATGTTATTGTAATCCCACTACTTGGGAGGACAGGGCAGGAGGATCACAAGTTCAAGGCCAGCCTGGGCAACATATCAATGCCCTGTCTCAAAAAAATATAAGTAAAGAAATAAACACGTAAAATAAAATATATGTGTTATACATGAATGAGAAACAATATAAATAAGAATTGTGACAAAACCAAAAAATATGGGCTGGGGTTGAGGCTCAGTGGTAGAGTGCTTGCCTAGCACACATGAGGCACTGGGTTCAATCCCCAGCACCACATAGAAAATAAAATAAATTTTGTGTTTTCATTGGAGATATAGCAAAAGTTGGGAGATAGGGATAAGACATGAGATGGCAATCAAAAAATAAAATAAATGTATTATGTACATCTACAACTAAAGACAAATACATATATACTCATATATATGTAAAAAAACCCTCAAAATATAAATATTAACCAGAATTGTGTCAAAACAATAATTATATAGTTATGTAGATTGAAACTGAAGGACATCTTTGGAAAACCATGTTTATTCAATGATGTTTTAGAAGAGATTTTCCTAATTGAATTATTTGTACAGAATGGTAGTAAAAAAAAAATGAATTACTCATAATGGGTATGTTTTGTTGTGTATTTTTTTTCTTAAACATGTCCTTTCAAACTTAATGGAAAAACTTTAACAATTATGGTTTCTATAAAATTGGTTTGTAGCTTCCTATTTCCATTAACAATTATTGATTATAAAAATATTAACAGAATGATAATATAAAGTTTATCAATCAAGACTTTTTTCAAATATTCCATAAGCAAAAAATATTCTTAAATTCTAAGAAATGGCTCTGATATTTATTTAAATTCTGAAATCTTTGATTTATAATAAATGCATCTTAAATTCTCAATATTGAATTTAATTCTCATTTTTACTGTAACCCCCCAAAACTACTAAAGATTTAAAAATTAGTATTTAAGAATATATACATAACTACTTAGTTGCCTACATGAGAAAAATTCTTGTGACTATTATATTAAAGAGAAAAAAGGTAGAACAAATTAAAATGCATAAAATATTTAAAACTTTCAAATGTAAAACTCATACAGTTTTTTTTTCTTTTTATTGATGATAGAGCAGAATTTGGGAGTCAGGGATAAAGACATAAAGATGGCAATCAAAATTCAAGAAAAGTGTTTGAATACATAAAGATCTGAAAATTCATTTTCTTCAAATATTCAAAATATTTCACTATCAAAAATCTATACATTAGGGCTGGGGATATAGCTCAGTTGGTAGAGTGCTTGCCTCACATGCACAAAGCCCTGGGTTCAATACCCAGCACCACCACAAAAAAAAAAAAATCAATATGTTAAGTAACTTAGGCAGCATAGTTAACACTATTGCATTTTTAAAAAATTCATCTCTTACATTCTTTTTTATCATAGGTTCCCAGGAATCTTGACTTACTGCAAAATACTTTGAGGATCTGATAGTATAGATTATTCAGTCAGCGATTTCACCTTTTCAGCCAGTTGTCTGGATGGATAGATGGGTTCAACCAGCCACAACACTGAATGTTTATCTTTGGATGTGTAAATAAAAACACTGAAGTAAAGTTGTTAAATTAATAATTGTTGGTGTATTTTAAGAAACTGGATCTAAAGTTTAAATTTTACACTATTTCTAAGTTAAGCAAACATTTTGGGTAATAAAAGGTAAAAAAAGTTTAAAAAGCATATATTACTTTTTAGGAAGTCCAATGAGAACTGCGTTTTTGTTTTTCATTCTGGAAATTCTAAAATTTGAAGGGCAACTACATTCTCTCTTACATTTCTCTTTAAAATTAGTGGCAGATGCTGTCTTTAATGGAATCCTAGTATTAAAATGTGAAGAATTTAGGGAGACAATTGTAGTTTGCCTGCACTATATGATTATTTTTAAAGTATCTGAAGTTTAGATAACACTTTAAGAAGAATAATGTAGATATGGTATTGAAATTAGGAAAAATCTGACCTGAATTCATCTTTTAATAATAAAGTATGCCATTTAGCAATAAAATAACCAAAGTATCTAAGATTAAATTATAAAGGGAATATCATGATGAAAAAAATATTTGCCTAGATTAAAGGTCAGAAGACTATGTAATCTGTCTTTCTAGTCTGATCTGGGAGAACTCCTTTATTCTAAATTGTTCTATAAACTAAAATAACAGTACTTGTGTAAATACTAACAGAATTCCCAAAAGGATAAAATGAGATAATATAAGGAGAAAATTATAATGTGTTGCAATGATAGGAGGCATTCCTTAAAAATATTACCTTGGAACTTTCAGCATTGAAAAATACTTAGGTTCTTCTTAAACATTAGTTAAAAATTCCACAGTTTCTAGTTAAGAATATGTTAATTCAGTTATATATTCATCTTACACATAGAATTTAGGTCAAATTTTGTTAATTGTGGAAAAAAAAACTATGTACATTCAGTTTATGATCTGTATATTTCATAATTTTTACTCCTATCAACATTTTTAACACTTAGATAAGAAATGTGCTGTCCTAGATATGTGCCAACACGAATGCAAAGGGCAGTATATTTTATTAGATTTATTCCCCTATTCCTAAAGACTAGACACCCCGCAGTGTCCTTTCCTACACCAAGAACAGGTTTTCTCATTGGGAGGGCCATGAAGGAGTGTAAACCCAGATTGCCTGGGTCAGAAAGGGCAGACCATGGGGTGCGCCAGGGGTTGAAGAATTCCCTTCCCCAGCATGAACACACCTGCACACACCTGGCGGGTACCGTGGCTAGCCGAGCGTATGCGTGCCGCTTATCCTGAACAAAAGCATCTCATAAACCACCACACTGGGAATTCAGAGTGGCAAAGCAAACATGCAGTGGGTGTTACATACGTCCACTTTGAATCTCTTCATTCTTCTCTCATGCAGTTGAGGAACGAGCTGCAGCAACGGATGCACGACAGATGACTGAGAGGACATGAACACACACAGGACATGAGCACAGGGGCTTGTCGGCATTGGGCATACAGAAGGTTTCCTGCTTTGCTTTGCTCTGTTTTTGTTTTACTGACTATATTTGCCCCAGAACCCCCACCCCCATAAAAAAGGAAATTAAAGATGTTATTTAAGACAGCTCTTTGTAAGCACTTCAAAGAACTGGGGTGAAAAGGCCAAGAGATGGAATAAGATTTTTATTTTTATTTGAAACACAGCTTCTTGAGGGCCTCAGCTCTGTCCTCAACTGCCAAGTAAAACCCCTCACCTCATCTCTAAAAAGAGGAGGCGAAAGGCCATCTGTTGGCTTCTAGACATACTCAAAATAATTTGGTCCAGATGAAACCAACTTGTGAATATCAGTTTTCCATGATGAGCATGTTTACTGGAAGGTTATACTTTACACTTATCTAGCAACCTTTTAGAAATTACATATTTAAAATGGAAACATATGGAGCAAGACACTGGGGACATGAAAATGCCAATGTGTTGATGGTGAAAAATGGGGCTAAGATATATTTTCTAAAAAGGTAAAGATGCCAAGGAGAAGACAATGAAAATACAGCTGAGCCAAAGTTGCCTGATATGGTTGCATTTTTCCTAAGGTATACGGATCAATTTCAGCCTTCTCACTAATTTTAAAATTGCTTATCAAATGGATTACCTTAAGCCCTGCATATGGCTATCTGTTCATGAAATCAACTTGTATTAGGTGTATGGCCAGTCTGACCTCACTTTTTCAAGTGCTCATATGTCAGAATATTCCGTGCAATAAACACTTAAAACTGAGTTTTAAATTTACATGTGCACATTTATTTATTACGTGTGTGTTTGTGTGTGTGTGTGTGTGTGTGTGTGTGTATGTGTGTTTGTGGTGCTGAGGATCAAACTCAGGGTATCACTCATGCAAGGACTCTGCCACTGAACTTCCCCTAGCCCCATTCCGCCTTTTTTTTTTTTTAATCCATGAAAATAAAAAGAAAAACTACCACTGAAAACACACAAGTTTGGACTAAATTAATTTCATGTTACTGGTTTCTGGCTAAACTTTATAAATTCTCCCATTAAATGTCCAATGATTGATAAGGAATAAGGATTATACATATAGAAGAGGATATTTCTAGTTATATTTAATTACATTTTGATTTTTGATCCTCTTTTTAAATAATTATTACAAAGCTTTGGATAAGACTATTTTTTCTTGCATCAACTACCATCCAAAATAATGTTCTATTTCTTTCTTTTCTTGTTTTTTTTTCCCCTCCATAAACTGTAAATTCCAGGAGGGAAGGGGTTTCTTTTTTAAATGTTGTTTTGCTTACTGCTATATTTCTAGACTTAAAACTTTACTTAGCACATAGTAGATACTCAATAAATAACTGTTAAATGAATGAATGAATGAATATAATGTACATGTAGTTGTTGACATGTAAAATAAATCAAATGTATAGTAAATACTGACTTCCATTCTCACTGACATAATAAGCTTTTAAAGTAAGAAATCTGAATTTTGATCAAGTTATATTAGATAAATTGCAAAAGCATATGCTTTCTTTTAACAAATACTAATTAGACTACTACTAATAAGTAGTTCTCCAACTTACCACAACATTTGAATTGCCCAACTTTTGTGTCTTCGAATAATGAAATAAGAACTGTTTAAAGAAAAAACAGTGAGTAATACATAAAAAAAAAATCAGTGGAAATCACTGGATTTTTAAAATTGTTTTCTGATTATATATATTTATAAAAATCACCTTACCCGTTTAGCATTATCTTTTTCATCTTGTTCCTATTGAAAAATATATATAATCATTATCTTAGATATTATAAAATTATTTATAAATTTAACATTTACAATAGGCTACACAATTAGACCATATACTTTTTAAAAAACATGATGTACATTACATATAAAATATGAAACTGAAATAAGTATCAGTTACTCTACAAATAAATGGGAAATAAATACTGTTCATAAAGAAAGATGTGAACAGCAATCTTTACAACATTATTCACAAGAGTAAAAACTGGAAACATCCTACATGTTCAATGTGGTGGAATGGGAAATTATGATATAATTACATGATGGAATATCCAGAGAAAAGGACCAAATGAATCGCATCAAAATACTTGTCATTGTTATGACTGAATAATAAGATTATGAGTTATTTTGCTTTCTTCTATAAGCTTTTCTAAATTCTTCTCCCCCTCCAAAAGTCTGTTATTAAGAGTCATAAAATTTCTTTTTTGTTGTTGTTATTGTTCTTTTTTGTTGTTGTTTTTTAATACAAAAGGAAAAGGATGGATACACACCTTTGTCATTTCTTCAATCTTTATTAGAAAAAAAGTCAGTTAAGTTTTTTGGAAAATGCCACCATTAAAAATAATAGATAATATATAGTTGTATCTAGAGTTTCAGATAACAGTCAAACCATCAAGGTTTCTTTCTTTGAATCTTTGTATATGCAAGGGATACACATTAGAGTGCACCAATGATCACAGGTTAAATTAGTTACTCATGAAAAATGTAATTTTAAACTCAAGACTTTTATCTTTAATATAGTAGTTTTAAAATAATTTCAATCCTTTCCTACGATATGGAAGAGAAAATGAGGCATAGTGCTTATGCTTACTTAAGTTCTTATCTATCTTGCCTTAGGACAAAAAGTTCTCCCAGAACGATTAAATCATTTATATAAGAAACCAGGACATGAAAGTAAGACTATAATTTTCAAACTGACATTGGCAATGTGATTTTGCTATTTTTACTTTTTTTCCTTCTATTTTGATAGTGCTGGGGATTCAACCCAAGACTTTATACTTTGCTAGGCGAGTATCACTGAGCTACACGCCCCCCCCCAACCCTGCTTTTGCATTCCTAGTGTTCTACTCGCTAAAGAAGTACAATCTCCTAACCTCTGAACCATAAGACATATTTGGCAGCTTAGAAAGATGCATCTGGTCTCCAATTGTAGTATGAGTCAGGGAGAAAAATACAGCCAATATGACCACAAATTTCTCCCATCAGACTGGAATACATTTTATAATTGAGGGAGGCATATAATTTCTCAATTAGATGATTCTAAACTCCATTAACATGACCCTAAATTATCAGGCAACAGACAAACCAAAGTATTTTTTTCTTATGCAAAGAAATCAATGTTTCCTCTTCTAGTTCCTCTTGGAATACTTCCAAAACGGGCATACTTTGTTCCAAGAGGAAGTCCAAGAATTTTTTAGGCATTGTTTCTTTTGCCAAAAAAACCAAAACCCTATTTCAACCTTACCTGGGGCTTTGGTAGAATTCCCATCACCATAAAGCAAAACTCCTTCAGTGCAGTGGATGCCTAAGAAAATGAGAAAATGTATCTGCTTGCACAGTGTCTGCAGAGAAGATGTAACTCACAATATTAGGAGCACAAGAATATTCTAGCTACCCAGTAAAGAATTCTTGCTGTGGGCCACCAGAACTCTATTGGAATCCCTTGATTTGTCTCATTACAAAAACTTGACTTTTAAAAGTAAAACCTTCCTTCTTCCTTCTGATCAGAGCAACAGCAACAACAACAACTAAAAAAGGCTGGATATACACACTAGTTAAGGCCTCCACTGTGGTCCAGTTACATAGTTCTCGGCATTTGCTCTCATGAAACTCTATGACTAAGAGTAACCAGGGCAGTGCCAAATAGGGATTAGTCTGCCCAGCTTGTAGCAAAGTGCATCTACATGCCAAAGCCATGAGCCTTGCTGAAGATTACTCATTATTGGCTAATTTGAAAATCCTGCAATTGCTCCCAAACAATGGGAACAGGAGGAGAAGCAGCCATGTGTGGTGCCCTTAATCTGAGTACCACCCTTCCAGCTTGCTGACTGCACTCACCAGGATCAGGTTTGTCAAAGCATTTGGGCTCAGAAGTAGGGCAGGGCTCTTTGTGGTTAGCAGCCAGCTGGGTGTGGTAAGGAGTAGCACAAACGGACAAGCAGGGGCAAAACCTGCACTGCACAGGATCTAGCACAGTATACCAGGAGACAATTGATTGCTTAATAAATGCATTTTGGAAGTAATAAAGAGCTGGGACAATCGGGGGCAATATAATTAGTGGTTAAAATCATGAACTATGGATGTGGGCAGCCTGTAACTCTACAGCACTGCAAATTCCATTTCTACTCTTAATAGCTGTGTCGCCCTGGGCTGGTTACCTAATCTCTCTAAACTTCAGTATCTTAAGCCAGGAATCAGGGGTGACACCACTGCAGGGAGTTCCTGGAAGGATTAAAGGTGAGTAAAAGTCTTGGGTTTGATTTATAGATACAGTTACTCTTGACTAGAAGAGATGTAAAAAGTTGTTTGCAGCCGCCAATATTCTCACCCTTGGAAATACAGCGCACACTTAGCATGGGTGGTTGTGGTCAGAGATACAGTGAGAGTCAGGACACAGTATCTCTGAGTGTCCTTCCTGGCATCGGAGGCCTGCTTTTCTCTTCTTTTCATTTGTTTGCCTGCCATGCAAGGTGTTGAGCTATTTATTAATAATATTAAATGGTTTATGTTTATAGTGTTTCAATAAATTACAAACACTTTCTTATACATGGATTGCATTCAGTCCTTAAAACTCAAGAGTGAGGTACACTGGACAGCAATGGCTATTCTCATGGATAGAGGAAGTGGGTTCTAAGAGATTATCACTTGTCCACTCCCATGAAAGGCTAGTTTTCACTAGAGCGTGGCCTGACCTATTGATATTCCTATGCTGCAATGGCATTGTCTGTTAAACCTGTAGTTAAGAGCTAATGTTTCCTATCTGCCCCGCTCCCCATCCCCAGTACTGGATTGAATCCAGGGGCTCAGGCAAGCTAGGCAAGTGCTCTCCCACTGAGCTACATCCCCAGCCTGGGCAGTTGGGAGTCAAACAAGAGAAAATGGTTATGGGAACATTGATACATCCTTTCTCACTTGTTCCCTCTCAGGTCACCCCATGAAATCTGGAAATAAAATCCTTAAAGCACCTTTTATGGTCCATGTAGAAATAATGCAAAATATAAGGCAGTAAAACAAAAATATTTGGACATTAAAAGTAAAATTACATATGTAAGTTGTTTCTCCTTAGAAAATGGTTTCTAGGCCAGATGAGGCTTGGCAATAAGATTGAATTTGACTGGAAAAGTTTAAAAACAAATGCATTTGTTATAGTTCCCTTTATAAGAAGCCATTATTCTCAAAAAATCTTCAAGGATTTATAAAAAAAAATTTTTTAAATATCTTTTTTAGTTGTAGATGGGTATAATACCTTTTTAAAATTTATTTTTATGTGGTGCTGAGGATCGAACCCAGTGCCTCACATTTGCTATTCAAGCACTTTACCACTAAGCTACAATCCTAGCCCCAAAGATTTTTTTATATATAAAATTTTTACTCTTTTATTTTTAATTTATAGGCCTTAAAAATCTTTTATATTCTATTTGGCAAAACCACTTTAAAGCACTGTTCAGATAATCAATAAGTAATAAAATAATATGGTGAAAATTAATGATGTTTTTAAAATGTAGCAAAATACAATACAATTTGCATTGTAAATGTAAAATATTGAATAGCAAATTTACCAAGCTCGTCTTACACAGAACTGAAACCAATAAAAGGTTGGTTTATCTTGATGGGGGTTTAAAGTGAGTGGCTTTGAAATTCACCCTTCTGGTACTTCAAATTTAAAAATGATTCTGAAAATGTTTCTGAATTTTACATACAACAGAAACACTTATATGCTAATATCCATCTCATGTTATACATCTGTAAACATTCTTTGGGTAACGTGCTCCTGGGTTCAATCTCCAGTGCATACACACATCAAAAAAAAAAAAAAAAAAAAAAAAAAAAAGAGAGAAAGAAAAGAAAAGAAAAGAAAGAAAGAAAAGAAAAAGAATAAAAAACCACCTATTGTGATCCTAATCTTGCTTTACCACCTAATACCTCTAACTTCCTGCAGGTGATCCTTCTTAGCCTGGAGACTGGGCAGAGCCAAGTAAAATATAGCACTTCACAAGACTCTTCTCTACACCAGTCATGACAGCTGTCTACAAGGACTGTGTGACTAACAGCCTGGGCCCTTTGGTAGGAGTATGTAGGAAGTTTGTACCTGAAACATACTAGTCTTTGTCCAGGAGACCAGTGATAGGGACTAAGAAGGTCAAGACAATTAGATGAACTGTCTTCTTTCTGCTCTCAGACATGGATCTTCAGGCAGGAACAGCACAGATCATGTAAGGAGAATGCACTTATTTCCCTCCTGTTTCCATGCAGGGAAACTGGACTAGCCTTCTTGGTCTCTGACTGCAACCCCTGCTTAACTCCCATGGAAGAGGAGCAAGCTGTCTGATGAGTGAATTGGGAAGGGGATGTTGGATATTGTTCAGCCTTTTTGGTAGGGAACCAGTGCTTTGGCTGGTGTTAGCTCTGAGGACGAGAACCTGACTCTGGTGGGAGATTCAGAGCAAGAGCCTGAGACTTGCAGGCAAGTTTACATCTGGGGACAAACACACTTGGCACTAGATCTAAAGCCACATTCAAATTGAGTTTTCAGTTATAATGATAAAACTTTGATTTCCAGAAGTCTGACTCATAGTAATTTTATCAATAGGTTTCAAACTCAACTGGGGATAGAATTTTAGCTCTCTAATACAGCAAGAGAGTATTTTAAATTTAACACAGAATTTGATGCAGAAATTAGCATTATAATTTGAAAATCCATAATTCCCAAATGTACATTATCTATAAATCTAGTTTATTTAGAGATAAAAGTCCAAGCATTTCAAAACACAAGCACACAGTACTGTTTATTACCTGCAGATGATGTAATAATATCTAATATGTTGACATGTTTTGATGAGTCCATAAAGGTCCAAAGACAGAAGTAGATAATTTCAACACTACATAAATGCCTACATTGTTACCAAACACCTGTAATTGAAATTACCTGAGTCTGGGAATCAACAGACAGAAAAGATGAACAAGCATCGTCTATCTGTAGAAAACAAAAATGTCAGTTATATCCTAGAAATAGAAAAGAGTAGAAAACGGATTTTACAAAGTCAAGTTACATACAAAACAGTGATCAAAGTTGCAAGACAGCTTAGAATACTGACTATGGAAGAGAGAAATCCCTAAAACTTTATGCAGCAAGTCCTGGAACTGGGATTTGCCCAAGTCTCACACCAAGCCACGGGGGTATACAGCCATAAGAATAGTTGATAGGAATGACCAGAAAGTATAAAGATGCCTCAAACATTGAGGGCAAGAACTTCTGGTTAAGCTTGGGAAATGTGAGAAGTGACTAAAGAATGACCTCAAAATTGAACACATGAATCCAATGTCACCTAAAACTTTTTTTTTAAGAGAGAGAGAGAGAGAGAGAGAGAGAGAGAGAGAGAGAATTTTTTTAATATTTATTTTTTAGTTCTCGGTGGACACAACATCTTTGTTTGTATGTGGTGCTGAGGATCGAATCCGGGCTGCACGAATGCCAGGCGAGCGCGGTACCACTTGAGCCACATCCCCAGCCCTATTACCTAAAACTTAACATGATAATTGCATGATACACATGCAGGAAATACTCTTAGGACCCCATGAACAATCCACCAGCTCTCCACCATGAAATCAGCATTAGATAAGAGTTCTATTTTATAACAAATATTTGTTGAACTATGGTTGGCAACTATCTGTTCTCAGCTTTTATTATAAAGAGAAAATTTTGAGACTTTAATTTATAGTATAAGAGATTTCTATCAATCAAAAAAACTGCTAAGAATTTAAACACTAAGCTAGATTTCAAGAGTTGCTTATGGTACTTATTTCTTTGGTGACCTTTTCAGATAGCACTGGAAAAAAATGGCACTGATTCTTTTGTGTCTGAAGTGATTTAGGTTGAGTCCTGTTTGTGGCATAAGATCAGAGACCTCTTCCCATCCCACAATCCTTTGTTGATCAATTTAATTTAATTTGCATTTTCACACCAAACTGAAAGGGGGCAGATTATCACACTTTTCAGTCATAAAATTCTCAAGCTCCTTACTGCTGCCAACTTGATTGTGTCCTAAAATATATGTTTCTAATATGATCAACACACCACACACGATCAACTTCTTGAGGCAACTTCTTGAGACTTGTCCAGAATAAGTGTCCAATAAAAATTCTTCAGCTGGGACTGGGGTTGTGGCTCAGTGGAAAAGCACTTGCCTAGCATGTGTGAGGCACTGGGTTTGATTCTCAGCACTGCATACAAATAAATAAAATATAAGTCCATTGACAACTAAAAATATATATTTAAGAAATTCTTCAATTAAGTTGAATTGAGTTAGAGAGAGAGAGAGAGAGAGAGAGAGAGAGAGAGAGAGTCAATTGAGAGGGAAAACCCAAAAGATGTTCTTTTAAGCTCTGAATTTTGACCAAAGCTTAATACACTGCCTCCATCTATGTGGCCTTTGCTTTAGTTGGATAGGAGAATGTGTTCCTCCAGGAACATTTGCGGTGCGGAAGTATCTGAAGACATTAACACTCAGGGGAATGTTGTCCACTCACAACCCTGGCTGCCCATCTCTGAGGTGGTCTGTGTCCAAGAACAGAGAACTCTCAAGCCTCAGTACTAATGAATCAATGCCTCAATGTTATTTGAGTAAAAACATCAGAATTTCTAAAAGCCTAATTAATCAAATTAGGAAGTCATTGCAAGTTCCCAGTCTTTGTTCTTATTTTTTTTTGAAGGATACAGCAACACTGCTTGCCTACCTTCCATTTGGGCATTCAGCTTATGGCTCTAAGGGTTTCAAGGACCCCTAAGTGCTTTTGAGAACTCTGAAAGATCATTGCTGAAGCTATGTGAAAATGGTTCAGTCTCTGTATAAGGTCAGGAAAGTATGTTTTTCTAGTGTCTGAATAGCTCTATAATTTTTAAAACCTCCAGCAGAAAAATTAACTATATGATCTAAGCATCTTCTTGAAATATCTTTTTCTATTTGATAATTTGTTGTTTTAACCACTCTAAGTTTCCTTCCAGAAATATTGTCTAAAATATTTTTCCAAAGATTTTCTATGAAAAAATAGATGATTTCAATCCAAAATAAATGTTTCTGTATTATACATTATTATCTCTTGTCTCAATTGTTCTTCATCTTGTTTTATATTTCTACCAAGGCAAAGACCCTCATAATAGGCTTTATGAATTTCCATATTCTTAAAGACTGTTTAGAGCCAGGAATTTATTCTCTATCTTGCTTTTACCCTTATGTATTTCATTGAGGTGGCCTAGGTACAAAGGGTATTCTCCCCAGTTCATAGCTCACATTAGCCTTGTTTTAGTATTTATTATTTCAGTATTTTGATTCACTCCCATTCCATCCTTCCATAGGCAATTCTTGATTTATTTGAGGTATATCCTACAATTTTGTATGTTTTTATAAAACATGTTTTGTCTAAATGTATGGTATTTTCTTTCTTTGAAATTTCACTTAACTCTATACTTCAGGATCTATCCATGGTGCTGGGTGTACAACTAGTTTGTTGCTTCTAACTAGTGTACAAAACTTTATAATGTGTGTCCATCATATATTACCTATCCACTCCCCAGGAATGAACAGCTGGGTTCCATTTCTTTCCACTACAAACAAAGCTGCAACCAACCTCCTTGTAGGATTGCTGTCTTCTGCATATGGAGAATATCTTCAGCCAAAAAAGAGAATACTAAATCGTGGGGGTATCTAGGCTGCTTTCCAGATGGTTCCACCAGTTAGCAAGCCACCCTGACCAGCAATGCATGAGGGTTTATATACCTTACATCCTTATGAACATAAGCCATTAACGATTTCTATTTTTTTTTTTTTGCCAGTCTAATGAGAAGGAAATAACACTGTTGTCTTAGTTTTCATTTATTTTTACCAATGAGTTTGAGCATCTCTCTAGATGTTTGTTGAGCTCTGGGACTTTCTTGCTTGTAAACTATCTGTTCTTATCCTTTGACTATTTTTATTTTGGATTCCTGTCTTTATCCAGTTGATTTGATGGTGATTCTTGAATGGTCTAGAGAAGCAATTCTATCAGTATTTTCCTTCAAAAGCTCTTACTTTTTTCCAGAGTTCCATATTGAAAGAAGACTTTTCTCTTAATGTAATTCAATTTATTATGTTCTTGGTATTATGATCTATATTTAAAATTTTATTTAAGAAGTCTTTCCTGACCCTAGTTCACAAAGATATTTCCTAAAATATCTTTTATTAACTCTAGAACTTGCCCTTTATGTTTAGATAGTTTATCCACCTGGATTTCATCTTTGCATTAGATATCAGTTTTATTTGTCTTCATACAGTGAGCAAATTTCTCAACCCTCATTTGCCAAACAACCTGTTCTTTCCCCCATTGAGTTCTGGGGTTACTTTTGTTGTAGGTTAAGCTTGTGGGTGTGAGCATTTCTGTCTTAGCCTGGGTTCTGCCCAGAAACAGGCCTTGAGATAAGAATGTGCATGCATGTAGATAATTTGGGAAGTGATTCATTAAACACTGGTAGAAGAATGGAGAAGCCAAACAGAGAATAAAAGGAATCCAATTAAGGTATGTTATTGAGCAGGTTAACCACAGTAACTGGGGCACAATCTGTCTAGGGAACTCTGAAAGACAGCGTAGAGCACATCTCAGAGAAATCCCAAATGAAGGGGTGAGACCGCTAAGGGATTTATCTATCAGCTCCCCTTGGTCACCCATTGAGGGCTGCTCTCAGTGGCTGGGGGGCACTTCTGGTCACCTGAGCACAGGTAGCCCATGGACACCTATAAGTAGAAACTATTAAGTTTGGAAAACCCTGGGCTGGTGAATGCCAATTGGATGTTGCAGGGTACTGATGGTGACATTTGTGTTCTCCAAGCTCTAGTCTCCATGCCAGTGGATCATTTCTTTGTTCTTGTGGCTTTGCCTTACATTTTTTTATTACAGCAGTTTTATAGTATTCTTAAGAATCTGATAGGGAAAGTTCCTACTTTTAATTCTTTGAATTTAAAATGCCCTTAGCTATTTGTAGATCTCTTTTTTAAAATGTTTAGTTATACCTTTATTTTATTTATTTATGCAGTGCTGAGGATCGAACCCAGTACCCCACACATGCAAGGCAAGTACTCTACCATTGAGCCACAACCCCAGCCCTATTTGTAGATCTTTATTTTTCTATGTCAACTTTAGTTTAAATTTAGAAATTGCTGTGTGTGTGTGTGTGTGTGTGTGTGTGTGTGTGTGTTTGGTGTTGGGGATCAAACCAGGGCCTTATGCATGCTAAGCAAGAACTTTACCACTGAGCTATACTCCTAGTCTCTTATGAGTTTCTTAAGAAACCTAAATGGAATTATTATGATTGGAATTGATTTGATTTGATGGAATTTACACTGATTAATTTGGGGAGATTTGATACTTTATTATACTAAATTATAAATAATGCTATCCCATATATTCACATAATCATTTATTTCCTTTATTAGAACTGAATTTGTTTTTTAAATATTTTTTAGTGTTGATGGACTTTATTTTTTATTTGTTTATTTATATGTGGTGCTGAGAATTGAACCCAGTGCCTCACACATGTGAGGCAAGCACTCTACCACTGAGCCACAACCCCAGCCCCTAGAGCTGAATTTTATTCTACAAAATTATGCATAAATTTATTGCATAATTTTGGTTAGGTTAATTTCTAAATATTTATATAGTTTTTGTTGCCACTGTAAATGATACACAGTTGTTTCTCAGTATCTTTAGGGGATTGTTTCCAACATCCTCCAACAACACCAAACCTGTAAATGTTTAAATCCCTTTATAAAATGGTGTGATATTTGCATATAATCTACACTCACCATCCTGTATACTTTAAATCATCTCTAGATTACTTATAATACCAAATACAATGTAAATGCTATGTAAACAGTTGTTACACTGTCTAGTTTAGGGAGTAATGACAAGAAAAATATCTGTACATGGTAAAGGGAGACCCAATATTTTCTCCAATTATTTTTGATTCATGGTTCATTGAATCTGTAGCTGCAGAACTCACAGATTTGCAGAGCCAATTATAATATTTTAAACTATACTGTTATTTTTTCCTGGTGAAAAGAAACATTCTTGGCTGTGTTTTTTGTTTTTGTTTTTTGTTTTGTCTTTTTGTTTTGTGATATAGAGATTGAACCCAGGGCCTTATGCATACTAGGCAAACACTCTACCACCCAGCTACATTCCCAGTCCTTTCTAAGATTTTATGTAAAAGGAAGACAGGGTTGAGACAGCCTTGCTAAGTTGCCAAGGCTATCCTTGAACTGGTGAACCTCCTGTGTAAGTCTCCTGAGTATCTGGGATTATAGGCACATGCCACCACGCCTGACTCTTGATGTTGTATATTGGTATTATACCCCACATCTTCTGCACTCTTATTTTAGTTTTAATAGTCTGAGAGCAAGAAATTTAGTAATTTAATTCATCACAACTGTAGACTAAAGGAGAAAAAGCATATTGCTTCTCTTCAATTAACACAAAGTACTTAGTTCAAAGTTTATTTAGGATTTTCAAAATGTAGTGAGATAGGAAAAGAAATAAACTCCTTAACTAGATAAAAGGTGTATATCCAAATTCTAGAGCAAGTTTTATGCTTTATGGAGAAGCTTTAGAACACTGACTGTATAAGACAGTACACAGGGCGTGTCCAATGGAATGAGGAAAGAAAGTGTTTCTTCAGAGTTTATCATATCACAAGTAAACTTTTCTTTGGCATCAGATATTTTTCTAAGAATTTATCCATTTCCTCTAAGTTTTCAAAATTATTGCCATATAACTGACTATAATACTTATTCTTGGTAATAGTTTTACTGAGATATAATCCACATTCCATACAATTTACCCATTTTAAATGTACTATTAGTAGTTTTTAGTGTATTCACGGAAATGTGTAACTATCACCAAAATCAATTTTTCAATTGATACTTTAAAATTTTAAATTTTAAGTTGATACTTTAAATCAGTTTTAAATTGATACTTTAAAAACTTTTAGTCTCCAGTTTTCTTGGTCATCTACCCTTTACAGGGTTGTTTATAACTTGTCTATCTTCATTTTTTTAAAAAAATTTTAGGCTATAGTTAAAGCAATAGTTGGAAAGAAATTGTAGATAGATTGATATTATATATAGTATATTCTAACATATGTTTTAACGTGTGTTAGCCTACAAATTTTGATTTACAATGTTTTTGTCATTCAGTTCTAAGTATTTGTAATTTCCTTTTTACCCCAGGATTATTTAACAAAGTGCTACTTATTTTCCAAACAGATGGGATATGAAAATTATACATTCATTATTAACATCTTATTTTATGATATTATGGTTAGAAAAATTTAAGACAGATACCTTCCTATTTATGAAAACTTTCTTTCTATTCTACGACATGTTCTATTTATTTTAATGCACCAATTATTTTCAATAAGAATGTGCACACTATCCAGTGTAAGTTTTTTAATAGCTCAAATTCATCTATTGTATAATTAGGTATTTGATATATCCACTGCCTGTTATACACTTTAACTATCAGTTTCTGAGAGAGATGTATTAAAATTTCCAACTACAATTGTTGATTTACCTGTTTTTAAAAAATTGGGGTGGTTTTGGTAGTACACATTAATTATGGCTGCACCTTCTTGTATGTTATTCTTTTATCAGCAGATATTTGTGTGTTATGATGGTTTGTTCATTTGAATTCTATTTTATCAGATATTAAGATTCCTACTCTGATTTTCTTTTAGTTCATATTTGCTTGGTATATCATAGTTCATCATTTTATACTTAGACTGATTTTGTTGTTGTTTCCTATTTAAAATGTGACTCTTACATGTAATTACTTCTGGATCTTTAACAATGATGAAAAAAATTTTCAAACCCTAAAATCCCCATTTTTTAAGTGGTATATTTTAGCACATTCACATTTACTATAGTTAGCCTATTTTAGGACTTAATTTCTTATTACTTTACCATTTACTATAGTGATTGTTTCTTTCCATCTTTTTTAATATTTATTTTTTATTTGGACACAATATCTTTATTTATTTATTTATTTATATGTGGTGCTGAGGATCGAACCCAGGGCCTCACATGTGCTAGGCAAGCGCTCTACCACTGAGCTACAACCCCAGCCCCTCTTTCCATCTTTTATTTTAATAAGAGCAATACTTATATGGGAATGTTGGTAAAAATCTTAGTTATCTCAAAGCTCAATTACATTATTTAATTTTACCATGAAAATTTCAAAGATTAAAGTTTCCACTAATTTGTGTGAGAATAATTCTTTACCTCATTCCACAATTGTAGTTCTTGTTCAGGCTGGAGTCCTTGAGGAAATATTGGAGCACCTAAAAGTCAAGTTACATCCACATGTTAATTTTATAATATTTCTTTTAAAATTAAATATCCATATATAATTACTTTTTAGATTTTATTTCTCATTTTTCACTGTACATCATTAACCACCAACTTCAGTTAGATAGTTCAGCATTCAACTTTATAAAAGAAGACATAAAATAAACTTTAATAAAACTATAAAGATATTCTTCTCAAGAATGAATCACTTACATGTCTACATAAAAAGTTGAACATGAGTGTTCAGAGAAGCATTATTCATATTAGCCCAACAGGGCCATCATCAACAGGGGAATAAATAAACAAAATATCTACACCATGCAATCCTCTTTGGCCATAAGAAAGAAATGAACTAATGATACATACAGCATGGATGAACCTTAGGAACATGGTGCTGTTAAATAAACTATTTGTAAGAAACCAAATAGTGCATGATTTCATGTATATAAATTTTCCAACAAAGTTTATTTATATCTATAATCATACAAAGATTGGTGGTTGCCTGGTGCTAGGAGTGGAGATGGGGATTAACTGCAAATGTATGCAACTAATCTTTAGGGGTGATGGAAACATTCTAAAATTGCTTTGCCAAGATAACTGTATAACTCTTTAATTTTTTTTTTTTTAGTTGTAGATGGACACAATATCTTTATTTTATTTACTTATTTTTTATGTGGTAGTAAGGATCGAACCCAGTGCCCTATGCATGCTAGGCAAGTGCTCTACTACTGAGCCCCAACCCCAGCCACCATACAACTCTTTAAGTTTACTGAAATATCACTCAATTACATACTTAAAACGGATGAATTTTAATATCATATTAAAGGTCTTTTTAAAAAGCATTGCTTATAAAATAAAGAAAAACATTATTTGTTAGATCCTTAATTATTATTGAAACAAAAACATGATCTAGCTTACATCTCCCAAAATAACATTTTCTCCATAAGTTTAATTTTCTAATTCATACTATGCAAATTATAAATATTATCTCAATGCTTTTTCTGTTTTTACTAATACTTAAATATATTAGCATTTATGGTCTTATATGTATATAGTTGTCTTTACTAAAACAAGAAAACATGTTGTAAAATAAAACTATACTTTTTTTCTTTTACAGTACCCAGGCCCAAACCCAGGGGTGTTGTATCACTGAACTATATGCCCAGTTCTTTTTCCATTTTTTACTATGAGATAGGGTCTGGCATTGATTTTGTGATTCTCCAGCCTCAGCCTCCTGAATAGATGGAATTACAGGCTTGTGACCATACCTAGCTAAATTTATTTTTAGAGATTTAAAATGTAGCAAAATTAAATACTTAAAAAATAATCTTCTGGCCTACGTATTTGCATGGTTTTTCAATATCTGAAAATGTACTGTACTACAGTTTGTAGTAGTTTATAAATAAAGATGATTTGACTGTAAAAATAGTCCTAAAGAAGAGAACTTTTTTAAAAAACAAATACTAACATTGCACCTATCAACATTGATCATTTATTTGATGCCTGATGTTATACTAAGAATTTCAAACGTCCTTTAATTTTCATATCAACCTTTCAAGATAGATGATGTTATTATTCCCATTTTAAGATGAGGAAATGGAAGAAGGGAGGGCTGAGTAATTTCCCCAGGCCAACTAAAATATACATGTAGCAGAGGCAGATTTCAAATACAGTATGACCCTCTACAGACCCAGAGAGCAACCCCCCACCACGAATTCTACCACTTTGTAGTCAAGTCTTATCTTGAGGTTTTACTATTTGATTTACATTCTAATAACATTAATAATAGTAATTAATTATATGTTACATGGTACTGAGTATTAGAAATAATTTATAGAGGTCATGGGGTCATGGACTGAATCCATTTTCATGGAACAACTATTTACAGTAGACAAATAATCTTACATATTTCTTATTAATAAATATCTTACCCTACCACAAACACATATCCGAAGTTACAGTTGTCTGGTGAATCATGTTCTGACCTTTTAACATCACTAATATCCTGTTGCCAAACCCAAACATAAAACATAAGAGAGAATTATCATTCCTTTTTCTTTTCTTTTTTGAGGATTATTTTTCTTTGTCTATTTGTTAACTAGAGTTGATGTGGTTTCCCTCCCAAGATATTAGTGGTTATATTAGTCTGTTTCCGTGGCCATAACAAAATCCTTGAGGCTGGGTAATTTTAAAGGAAATAGACTTATTCAGCTCACAATTTTTGGAAGCTACAGGTTCAAGATCACGTGGCCCTATCAATTCAGCCTCTTCTGAGGGTCTCTTGGTAGATGGGAGTGTCTGCAAGAGTGATCACATGCTAAAAGAGGAAGCCTAAAGCCCAGAGAGGAGGAAGAGGCCAGTCTTGCTTCCTAAAATAACATTTCATTCTCTCAGGAACTAAAGGGAGTTCTATCTTAATCCCTTCCAGGGGCAATGTTGGCCAATGACCTAACTACCTCCCACTAGACCCCACCTCTTAAAGTCCCAACACCTCTTAGTACTGCCACACTGGGGGACCAATGTTCCAACACAAGAATGTTTGGGGGAAACACTAAACCCATATCACCTTGATGTGGGCTTTATATAGTACTTTTAAAAAAGCAGAATTCAGGTCAATATTTTCATATTTTCACAGTGTCACTATCTTCTGTATCATAAAAACTGTTACTGTTTTTGATCTGTTTAATTGACATATTTATACTACAGGCCTGTCTAGTAAAACAGAACTGATTATTTAAAAGATGGTGCCAACTTTCTTTTCCCATTAATGGTACTTTAGTGCAGAGTTAGAAAATGAGAAATTGTTACTACTGACTGAATGTTAAGAATTATTTGGTGAACAGGGACCTAGATAAGAAAAGACATGACTGAATTTAGTCTTCGGCATTTGATCACTTATTGTCAGAGGCCTATTCAAGTGATTGTTTGCTGCAGTTATTCAAATTGTGGTTTTTAAATAGGAAATTTCCTTCTTTTAATAATGTTCTATGAATGAACTGTCTCTATCCACTAAATCTGTGGCTGGTCCATTCTCTAGCTAATGTATGCTCTGCTAATTCATTTTGTGCTGAGGATGCTGCATTTATTGACACTATTATTTTCCTCTGGCTTTGTGACATTTGTTTTGTTGTTTTTAGATATAACCCAGTTACATTTCCATGATGATAGATCGTGGTAGATCGTCTCCAGGTTTTGCTTATATATGGCCTCCATCACCCCTGTCCCCACCTTCATCTTTTAGGACTCAGGACTAAGGCAGATCACACTGACCTCTCCCCAAACCCCACCCCAGCACATTTTTAGTGAAATAAAATTAGGTTTTTATTATTAAGTCAGGTCTGAAGGAGAATGAAGATACAAAGGGACAGTCTAGAGGGTCTCTAGGTAGCCAAGGAGGCATTTCATTCTTTTGCTTGAAAAAATATTGAGGATATTCATGAGACAATTAGTTAGCCTGCAGATCTGCTCTTTTGGAAAAAAACCTGACTTATCCTTTTAGGAACCAGCAGCCATTATTCCTTCCATTGTTACTGCTCAATTACCAGCAGCCTGAACTGGCCCCTCCCCAAGGCAGTTGTCTCCCATGGATACAAAAAAAAAAAAAAAAAAAAAAAATCACTGCAAGCACACAGTTTGTAACATGCATAGAAAGCACAGTTTCTTTACGTAACTTTAAAAACTATCTGCTGTGACTCTACCTTGTGTACAACCAGAGACATGAAAATTTGTGCTCTATTTGTGTAATATGAATTGAATTACATGCTGTGGTCATATATAACACATTAGAATTTTTTTTAACAAAACTATCTGTGGGCTGGGGTTGTGGCTCAGTGGTAGAGTGCTCACCTAGCATGTGTGAGGCACTGGGTTCAATTCTCAGCACCACATAAAAATAAATAAATAAAATAAAGTCATTGGGTTCATCTACAACTAAAGAAAAAAATACATATATATTTTTAAAAAGATCTGCTTTCTCAAGAAGGCAATGGTTATCACCTTAATTTTTCCAAAAACAAACTTACAATTGAAACGGAGGAATATTTACCTTGTGTAGGTCATATCACATCACTACTGCCTAGGTGGAGGTTTAGGTCTAATTAGCTTAAATCCAAGAGCTTACATTTCCCAGTTAAACTCTCTTGCTTTTCCAGTCAGGGACTCCTCTCCCCCACTCCAAGGCCTCCGGAAAAGTGAAAAACAAAACAATGAAATGAGGACAAAAATAAGTAGATTAGGAAAAGAATGATAGCCTCTGTTTCCCCATCTCTAATTGAGGGCTGGGCTGAGCTCTGACAGATACCTGCAGTTGTGATTTTAAGTTCTCAGCGTTTTGAAAAGTGACAAAAACAGTCAGCCCACCTCTACCACACTCACAGAAGAACAGAGGAAAGAACCTGAGGCTAACCCAAAGAATTCATGGCTATAATAGGACAAGGAGGGGCACTGAAGGGGCCCCCAGAGTTCAGGGATGAATGGTAGTACCCCCAGAGCACCAGGCAAGGTGATCTTTAGAGAATCAAGGAAATAGCCCGGCTTAGTGCTACACGCCTGTAATCCCAGTTGCTTGGGCAGCTGAGGCAGGACGATCTCAAGTCCAAAGCCAGCCTCATCAATTTAGTGAGACCCTTGAGTACTCAGCAAGCCCCTGTCTCAAAAGAAAAAAAAAAGAAAAAGAACTGGAGATGTAGCTCATTCACAGAACACCCCTAGGTTCAATCCTAATAATAATAACAATGATTATTATTATCATCATCATTGTTATTATTATTATTATTTAAAGGGGAATCAGGGAAATGATCTTTCTACCAGTACGTTTGTACCCTGGCACGTCTCCAAAGCTTCAGATCTCCATCCTGACCTACCTTTCTTATTTGGTTCTTGTGGGCCAAGCTCGAAAGTCCCAATTGTCATCAAACCACATCTGCCACATCACTGGCTTTGGCTGTACACTGCCTTGCACGATTGCGTCTCTAACTTTGTGTGGTGAGAAAGTTTCTAATCGTTTTCCAGACCTGCTGCCTGAAAATTTGCAAGACACAGAACCCTCTCTTTCCCCTTTCTACTTGGCTAGAATGGACCTGGGCGCTGCTCAGGATTTACCTGAACAGAGCTCGAGCTCACTCACTGCAAAGGTTGGGGGCACTCCAAGCCCCTCTGCCACAGCAAGTGTAGCATCCAACTCTGGTTTTGCCTCAACCACGGACGCCTTCAATAATTGCAATGAAAGGGAAGGCTTTTGAATTTTTTCTAATTTCCGTTACCCATGGGCCCTGGGCTGTGAGTCGCGCCCTTCAGGTCTACACCGCCGGCAACCTGCTCCGTGTCTGGAGATCTTTGCCAGGACCCAGACGCTCTCGGAGTTGAGCCACCCCACTGCCCAGCTGCAGCGACTCGCGCCTGTGGTCAAGAGCGAGAACCCGCGAGGTCCGCGCACTAGGGAACGGTAGGTCCTAGAAGCCAAGAGGAAAGGGGGGCAGTGGAACCAAGAGCGAGCGGCGGGGACAGCAAAGGAGAGCCGCGGAGAAGCGCGCCTGCTGGACGGCGGCGGGCGCCGGGGAGGTTTGGGGCCGTCTTACCTCCGCAGGCGCCCGCGCACCAGGCGAGCAGCAGCAGCAGGAGCGGGGACACCACAAACACATGTCCCGGGGGTGGCCCGGGACGGCGGCTGGTGGATCGCGACATCTCGGCGCTTCAGGGCAGCTCCGACTTCTGGACTTGGGACTCTGCGCCTGCAGCCTTGGCTCCCTGGTGATGCCTCCGCGTCCCTGGAGCTCAGCTCGTGGGTCCGACCACTGAACGCGCCTAGCGCGCCACCAACTTTTAAATCTTGTGCACACGTGGGCTTGGGTGGCGTGGTCCCAACGCGCGTCACTTCGCAGCCCGCCGCCCCCGGACTCCTTCGCGTCACCAGGACCCGCACATCACCCCCATCACACGCTGCCGGGGGCCACTCACCCCTGGTCTGAGAATCTGACTCAGGGCACCACCCGATTTCGCTCTGGTATGGGGGAATTAAAATAATGCACGTCCACTCCCACCTCTAGAAGGAATTGGGTGGGAGCAGGAGCTGGATGGTAAACTGAGCCGTCCGAAGGGTCCGGGGTTGTAAATAGTCAGTGGCTACTACTGAGTCGGCCTGGGGCGCCCCTTCTTCACTTTCCCTAGGAAGCCTTCCTCTGCCACACTGGTCTCTGCAGGGTCTCCTCTCCTGAAGCTCCAGAGGTCCCGGGTGGGAACACCTGATTTGCTTCCCTGGTTTAGCACCAGCTCCTCTCAAAATGCCTGATGCGTATTAGGAAGATACTCGTTTTACCTTGATGTTGATACTTTTGCCCATCCCCCAAATTACTGCTAAGTCTACCCATTTAGGAAAATGCTCTTGTCTGTTACTGAAAGGTCAAGAAGAACGGACAGTTGGGGCTTGGTCCTACACACATTTCTAACAGGTTTGAAAGTGCAGTTGTCCTATGGATATCCCCGCCTAAGAGAACTCCTTTTTCTATGAATTTCTGCAGCTACGGCATTCTGACTTCCTCTAACCCTCTCCTCTCCTTGGTGTGGATGCCCAGGAAGCAGCCCTTTCCAGGACACTTGCTGTTACAAGTCTAATTTCCTTCTGCAGAAAAAGGGAAAACTGATCTAACTGACCTCCTTTGAAAGGTGAGGAACAATGAAGAAGGAAGTTCATGGCCATTTTTAAAGGAGCATTTTTGTGTCATGTACTTTCTCGGGCTATTTCATTTAACATTCATGATATCTTTGTGATGTGAATATTGTATAAAGATTCTAAAAAGTATTTTTAAAACTCCTGGAAAAAGTATGGTAAAATACATTAAATATATTTAAAGATTTTTATTTGATGATGCTTGGAGAAATTAAAGAATCTTCTCAAGGATATGGACAGTGAGGAGCCCCTGTGATATTTCTCCCTAAACCAGGAGTCTTCATATCAGGCACTACTGGGCAACCTATTATAAACAAGGCATCATCATTGGCAATACAACTTTTAGTAACAGCAGGGCCTTTCCTAAAGGAAATTAAAATATGATGAAGGACCCAAACCCATTCACAAATAGCTGTGATTACAAGAGAGACTATCCTAGTGCTTTGTCAGAAATAGAGAGGTAGAAGGAAAACTCTGACACAGCAAGTGAAGAATAATGGCTAGCATTTTTAACACATGAAAAAGACCAAATTATAAAGACTGGTGTAGGTTCAATGATGGATGAGAATAGATTTGATTGAATTATTTACACTTTGATTTATTGCCGAAGTAGTAATAAATAAATGTTATGCAAAAGATGTAAATGATCTGAGGACGTGGGTAAGGATGGCAGGCAGAGGAACATGGTTCCCCTGTCCCTTCCTAGCTTCTCATCCATGTGCTGAAAGATGACTAGTCTCAGCAACCAGTGTGGCCAGCTGTCAGTGAGAACAGAGAACCTGAATCAGTAGGCTGAATGCTTTCTCTACCCCATCAGTCAGTAAAAGAAACAACTTGTGTGTTACAATTTTTTTCTGCATGAATGTTCTTGTATGTGTGCATTGGTGCACATGTGCAAGAATTTTCTGAAGTATGTACCTAAGTAGAGTTATTAAGCCATAAGGGATGATTTAGTTAAGCTCTAAGTAGTTTTCCAAAATGTCACACTAATTACACTCCCACAAGCAGTGAATGGAATGGTCCATGGCTGCACATCTATGCAAAAATCTTTGTCAATCTGGTGGATGTGACATCTCAGTGTGAATTTAATTCTCAAATCCTTGTTTACTAATGAGTCAGTTGAAGCTTCTGCCTTGTCTGTCTTTTTATACATGTATCAGCCATTATTTTCTCCACAGTGAAATACCCACTTATTTCTTTTTCCCATTCCCCCTTCGATAGTTAGTGTTTTTTATTGTTTGTTTTGTTTTGTTTCATGATTATAGGAATGATTTATTTATTCTGGAACTTTTGTTGATTAAATATCTGACAAAAAATGTCCTCCCTCTTTATGACTTCTCCTTTACTATTTTTAATAAGAGTTTGTATTTTGGGGAGGTGGATACTGGGGATTGAACTCAGGGATGCTCAACCACTGAGCCACATCCCCAGCCCTATTTTGTATTTTATTTAGAGACAGGGTCTTGCTGAGTTCTTAGCACCTTGCTTTTGCTAAGGCTGGCTTTGAACCCATGATCCTTCTGCCTCAGTCTCCCGAGCCTCTGGGATTACAGGTATGCACCACTGTGCCTAGCTAGAGTTTGTATTTTTGAAAAAATGTTTAAGGAAGACTTGTAGACTTCAGGTCATGCCATATGTGAGTTTTATGTTAAGACAAGATGGATGGGGTAGGGTGGGGGACAGACTGGCACTTTATTTCCCTAGGAACCAAGGTTGGGAACGAATGACTAAATGGAAGTTGACTGCACAGGTCCCCTTTTGTCCAAGCATTCCAAAACAGCTAAATTCCAGATCTCTGCATGGAGCCTTGAAATGGAATCGCAATCATTCAGATGTCACTAGAAATTCACATTCATTTAAATTGAACTGGTATATAGGAATGTTCTACCAGGAGGAGTGGAGCATGGCGGACATTTACATTGACTGTTCCAGATTAAAAGTTTGATTCTTAGTATCATGTTGATTCCTCTTACCTATTGCCATTTATATTCTTGACTACAGATTGGCAATGGGACTTTGCTCATTACTGATGACCTATAAGAATGAAGGCTTAATTAGGTTATGAGACTGCAGATTAGCAAAAGCTGTTTGTGGTAGAAATGTCCTAAAAAGCTATCATGAAAGGCATTAGAAGAGTAGGATAATGGGGTGCCAAGAGAATGGGGGAGTCAGCAATGGATAGAAATCTGGTCAAGTACTAGTTGGTAACTGGAAATTCTAGAAATAGGCAAAGAAATGCAGTTTCAGAAACTGGGAATAGAGGGAAGATTTGAAAGGTCTGAGAGTTCTAGGCAAGATAATCATGCAGACCTTCAAATATTATTTGAACTCCCATTAGAAGTTTAATTAAGATACAACGGTGTTCAAGTCTCTGCCTTGATGAAGTTGGCATATTTTTAAAGAGTTAGATAATAAACTAGTAAACAAAAAATAGCAACTACAGACAGTGATAAAAAGCTGTAAGTAAATTATAGCAAGATAATAAAATAAAAGAAGATAACTGGGAGTTGAGGAAAAGATTCTGGAGACAGGATCATCTAGGCATGGCTCTCTGAGGAGGGGATGAAAGAAGAAACCCAGCGTGGGAAAAACTATGAACAAAAGCACCTCAGACAGAGGAACCTCAAGTGCAAAGGCCAAGAGTCCGAAACAAACTGGGAAAAAAAAATTCAATATCCTAAGAGGAAGGAGCCAAAACCATAAGGCCATATAATTGCAGTAATATGTGAAATCCAGAATAAGCAAGCCTTAGACAGAAAAATAGAATTGTGGTTTCAGGAACTGGAGAGTATGAATGCTAATGAGTATTCTTTTGGGAGGCTGAATATTCTGGAATTAGATAGTAATGATGGTTGTGCACTCTTGTGAACAGAATAATCAACAGTGTTTCCTACACCCTGAGTGGATGAGCAATATGTATCTGAATTTTATCTCAAATTTAAGAAAACACAGAAGTCCAGGCCAGGTATGATGACAGGTTGGACTGGATCAGGGCAATCTTTGCAATTTAGCAATATGCCTATTTTTGGCATGAAATATCTGTATTTTGCTACATTGCTCTGAGAGAGATTTTCTTTTGAGAAACATAATAAAATAATTTTTTAAACAACAAAGTCAGTAGCTTTTTGCAGTTACATCGATGCCTACAAGGCTAGATTTTTCACATGATAGATGTTCTAGGAGAAGGGCCATTATTAAAAGCAGCAATGCTACTGCTAATTTGAAACATGACATTAAAAGAATTCCAATCCGTTGAAGGCAGGATCTGTTCTTTGTTTCTTAAATTGCAATTAAAATATTAATACATACTAATAAAAGATTTATTAGGTTTTCTTGACATATTTATGAATCACATCCGGACAAAGCTGGCAGAAAAACAGATACTTCTAAATTTATGAGGTTTTATAAAAATGGAACCTAAAATTAAATGATAGCTATAAAAATACAAGGACAGATAAGTAATTTTTATTATTTCTACGCAGTAAATTGTATGACCTTTTTTTATGGCTAGTCTGGTTTTCAATCTATTTAAAATGAACCAAAACATTATCATATTTTCTAAAAGTATCTGGTATTTATGAAACAATACATAAATTCCTTATATAGACATGCTCAGATTAATATTGTTATTGTATTAGGTTGAAGTTAATTGAAAAAGGAGAAAAGAAAAAAGTGGATATAATTTGACATTTTAAAAAGTTAAAATAATCAAGAAACTTGGAATACATTTCTGAATAGAAAAAGCGAGTGACATTTTAGTCAATGTCATAAAAGGGGTAATACCATTTCAGTTTTAGCTCTGATTTTTTAAATTGACCATACAGATATGAAATGCTGAGAGTTGTTTATGTATTTATGTCATTCTGTTCTGAATTAAATACTAGTTGATATCATTTAAGATATTTATGTTCCAAGAAGAATAAAATTAGCTAATGTTGAGTAGTTTATTCTCTTTACTCATCTGTAATCAAATTTCTTTTTCTCAAAAATTAATCAGAGGTCCTCTTTCTGTTTTCACCCATTAGTGTGATTTCTGACATAAGCTATTTTCAATCAGTGAATTTCAACCCTAATTTAAAAGTTTATAATGGTTTAAAAAATAAATAAGACAATATATTTATTTCTTAGAGAAAATTGAAAAATAAAGGAAAGGCAATCATTGCCTTACCTGAGTAGGTTTCCACACAAATTATCTCTGGTATTCTTTTTTATGACCTCTAGTTGTCTACCGTCTACTGGTGCACTCACTGAAAACTGATTTGTGTCAATCATTGATCCATTAAAATCAACTTGAACTTGTTTGTTCTCATCCTTCTTTCCTCTTATACTTTTATTCTCCTTCTAAAAACAAAAACAAAAACAAAAAAACAAGAGGTTGCTGCCTCTGACTCCTATCCTGTTCTTACCATATCATTATTACTGTACACAACAGAGATCTTCTATACTCAAGAAAGCATTTGGATAGGGACCTGAGGGTGGGGGCTGGGGATATAGCTCAGTTGGTAGAGTACATGCATAAAGATTCTGAGTTCAATCCCCAGCACCACCACCACCATCCAAAAAAAAAAAAAAAAACCATTCAGGGAGGTAATATGTTATCATATTGATAACATTTTCCTCTTCTGAACTCCAGGTAGTGAATAATACCCTCCTTCCTCTCAGTACTTCCAGAGCACAGCTTTATTTATTCTCTTGAGCACTTCCTACCACTGATAGATCATACCTACACACACACACACACACACACACACACACACACACACACACAAGCATATACATACATATGTGTGTGTACACCAATTCTTCAGGGAGGCAGAAGGAGAAGATAACCTT